GGGTCCTGACTCATTCTCTCTGGGTCCTGACTCATTCTCTCTGGGTTCTAACCTGTTCTCTCTGGTTTCTGACCCGTTCTTTCTGTCTGGATCTGTGTTTTTTCTCCACCAGGATCTAAAGTGAAGGACTCGTTTGTCCTCTGGGAATCTTACCAAGCTTCCTGTCCTTCCTTGGTTTTCCAGGTATGGAAGAGGCTCACTGCGAGCGAACAGAGTTCCTTAGTAACTACCTGAGCACAGTGGAAGACATTATCCTGATACCCGGCTCTCTTGGCAGAATCCGCTCCAGATTTCCCAGCAGCCTCAGATGTGAGTTTCTTTCTTCCTGTTTGGAGGGAAATGATTTGCTGTAAATAAGTCAACCTGCTGATCTCTGTTAGGAAGAGGCTGAGTTGTCTCAGTATCCAGCAGCTTAGCATGTAACTTTGTTTGATCGCTGTTTTGGAAAAGTTCAGCAAAGCTTAGCATGTCCCGCCTGCTGCAGGGGAGCCCCAAGAATCTGGATTTGACATTACAAACAGAATGTTGGTAAAGACAGATTACCAACAGAATGCAGTAGCTCACAGGCAGATGGAGCAGGCAGCAGCTTATTGGCCGGTTCAGGGGTCTCAACAGGACAACAATGATGAAGAGGTCTTATAGGATAGAAATGCTATCTTAGTCTGTGGTCCATCAGAGGTGGGCAGGCGGGAGCAGCAACAGGCCATTAAGGTTTTTAGCTCAGAGCTTCGTAGCAGAGCGGCAGGTTCCCATGTCCAGCTGGAATATCAGATGGAAGAGAGGCTGGACCTGTTGTGGTCAGAGCACGGCGTTGAGATGAGATGTCCTCTGTCCTCCATGATGATCAGCAGGTCCTCTCAGAAACAATCTATGCTTTTCTTCCAGATGATCCCAGGGCTGTAGTTGCCAATCTAACGGTGAGTCCAATCAATGAGGACATGTTGAATGATGTTTATCAGGCTGTCATGCATCCTGGGACAGTTTAACATCTCAGGGATGCCCCCCCCCCAGTGTCGGAGGCCAGAGCAGCACTTTAAGCCATACCTGAAACAGCATCTGCCCAAAAGACTGCACTACGCCAACAATCGGCGGATTGAGGACATTCACCTGCTGGTAGACAGGAAGTGGCATATAGCCAGGTAGGTAGAGCTTCATTTACTAAAGTCTGAGAAGCTGGTCTACATTAAGGGGGAGTCCAGACCTTCAGGAGTCCTGCATCAAAAATCTATTAAATTATTACCTTTTTTTGAGTTTTTACAACACTAGTGGCTCATTTTAATGGACAGTAGGCTGACGGGAAAGGAGGTATGAGAGACATGTGGCAAAAGACTACAGGTCAGAGTCAAACCCAGGTCGACCGCGTGGAGGACTAAGGCCTCCATACATGGGTCTTGAACGCTAACCACTGCGCCACTAAGGCATGCCCATTATGACGTTGTTTGAATTGAACCTATAACTGTTTAAATGACTGTTGAGCAGTAAAAGCAGCCTGATCAGCAGTTTAAAGAACAACATTTTAGGACTTTATTAACAATAAAATTCAGCTTCAAGTCAAAATACTTTAACAAACTTCTTAGTCAGGCAAAGAAGAATCAAATCCATAAAAAATAACCATAAACAATTAAACAATCTGTACTGTTGGTTTCTTTAGAAACCAGCGCCAGCTGGTGGAGTTTCCTCCAGGGGGCGCTATAACTTCAAAGTAGACATATACCAAAAACCATTCATATACTAAGGTATCACACCAGTATCTTTATATGAATGCCAACAACAAAAAATAAAACATTCTAAAGTGTTCTGCAAAGTGCTTTAAATCAGTCCTAGCTGCCTCTATCCATGCTGGCTCAGATCCTGACGTTTGATAAAGGAGGCAGGAAAGCAGGATAAAGCCTTAGCCTCGCTGCATGCAGTTAGCCTCGCTGCATGCAGTTAGCCTAGCCTTGTTGCTAAATAATTCTATCAACCTGTCAATCAGCAGCACTTTCTAACAGACGACTGTGACGTCAGCGCTGTGGAGGGCAGTGGGCTGCAAATAAAGCTGCTTTCAGCTCTGGGTACAGGAGAGCTGCTCCCCAGGATGCTCCTATCTGTAGCATCGAAGAGGAGCTGCTGCTCTGGACAGCTGTAACCAGAGTCTATGGGAGAAGATTTATGGAAATACGTCACCAATCCAAAGACGGACGACATAGCTTTACTCGTCATTAAAGATTAAATACTTATCTATAAAATATATTCATATATTTGGGAAATATTTAAACTTTATAATTCAATTTTTATCTGTTTTTTTTTATGTCTTAATCAGGGTCATTGGGTGGGTGGGGCGACGCCCTAGCGCCCTCTGTTGGCCAGCCGCCACTGATAGAACCACTTCAAAACATTTCATCTCAGGTCACTTTACAGAGATGAACGAAGGATTTTATTTTAAACAGGCAATGACTTCGCTAATCAGCTAAAAATAAACAAAGAAAAAA